CCCACTTTGCCCGCCCCTGACCCCCCTGCCTCTAGCAACTGCCAATCTGTTCTCTGTTTCTATGAGTTCAGCTTTTTGTTTTGTGTTTTTATATTCCACATAAAAGTGAGATCCAGAAAGTGTTTTTATCTTTGTGGCCTGCGTGACTGTAAAGCCAACATTCTCATTTCAGACTCTGGTCTTCCCTTGCTCAGTAATCTTGTGTAGTTTGCTTTTAAAAATAAATTCCTTAACCCCCCACCCCACCCCAGACTATAAAAGTAATACTTTTTCATAGCAGAGGAATTGGAGAATATAGAAATATACAAAGAAAATAATTACCTATAATCCCACCCTCCAATGCGAATCACTGCTAATAGTTTGCTGCATTTCATTCCATTTATCCTACTTTTTCCTTTTGCATAATCTGTGTCCATACATTTAAAGAAGACAACTAGGACTGTACTTAAAGTTTTATGTCCTACTTTTTCAGGTAATGTTTTATCTTGAGCATCCCTTGTGTTATTAAATATTCTTAAAATGTGGATTTTAATGGTTGCATAATATCTTCCTACACAATAAACATTTATTTATTCTTTCTCCTATTCTTGGAAATTAGAGTTTTTGTTTTCCATTTTCCCTTCATATCTCATACTTTGTTGAGCATTTTTGTAAATAAATATTTCCTTAGTAAACCAAAATTACTGGTGCAAATGAAAAGAACATATTAAAGACTCCTGATGCAATTTGAGATATTACTTTATAGTGCACAATAGTTGTGCAAATTTATGCCACCATTCACTAATACTGGGAGGATCCATCTCATTCCATCCTTACCAGCACCAAGTATTGTCATTGTTAGCAAACTCTTCTCAACGTGAGAGTGGGAAAGTGGTATGTTACTGTGGTTTAAATGTGCATTTATTTGATTACTAGTGATGCTGAACCCCTCTTAACGTCTACTGGCCCACATGTATGTCTTCTATGAATTGTCTGCCCATTTTTTTATTAGGGTGTGGCACTTCGCTGTTTAAAACATCTTTTGGTTTCAGTTTCTTCATCAACCAACTGGGGCTAATGATATTTGCCCTTAATTTTGAGCTTCTGCAAAAATAGAACCTCCCACATGTTCCATGCCATGAATTCTATCCAGAAGACTAGTGATTAGACACTCAAATTATTTACAAGGAAGTGCTGTTAGTCTCAGGGGTAAGTCTAATTCAGGGAAAAGAGCCACAGATTGGGAATCGTGACTCTTTAAACCATCTGTAGCCAATGCATACAGAGTCATCGGGCATAAATATTTAGTAACCCACTGTACAACCCAAAAGGTGACAGAGAAGCACATATTTTCTTTCTTTTGATACTCAGGGCTTGGAAACCTACATCAGACCAGGTGTTCTTTCTTCAACTACCTTTCCTGTGGTTTTATAGCCACATATCTCTAACTGTAATACCGTTCATTTACAATAGCTGTAAAATATCCATGTACTCCCAGAGACGGTTGTAACGGTTACAATTTATGTTATAATGATAGTTAAAGAGCCAAAGTAACAAGTGATTTCCAGTTCAACTAAATTTGTGGTTTTATTTGTCTGACAGATTAAGTTTATAACTCAAGAACACATTTCTTAATAAAGTCATTACAGCTACACAGGCAGGGATCACTGTTCAAAATCCACCGTAAAGCAGGCAGAGCAAAACTGGGCCTGATGTTCTTACTCGGCCTGTCAGGACTCCAGCAAGCAAGCTTCTCTTTCTGGAGAATGTACTCTCCTATTCAGATGTAGCTGAAACACTAGTTTCAAAGTCACTTTTGGAAGGTAATGTAAAATTCGGCTAAGACCTAAAAGGGGATGAAAGAATTGAAGATGCCACAGAATTCTCCTTCCCACCCTCTGCCCCAGTGAGCCTCTTGTGGAAACCACATGTGAGGAGGCTGGGAAGAAGGCTTTTCCAGGTGAGCTCTCCCACCCTCCATACTGAGTGCTATGTGCCTCCAGCCTCTACGGCAGGACTCAGAACTAGGCTGATTGCCTCTGACTGCTGGGGTCATGAGCAAGGTTGAGAAAACTCCACGTTCATACAAGCACTTGTTTGCCTGAAAGGCAATAATAGCCCTTGACCTAAGTGTGGACCATCCATCCTCTTTCCACTCTTACTCCAAACAGTTTACATCAATCCTTGCCCTGGAAAACCGAAGGGCAAAGAGAGGGTTGACATTTGGGAGCAGCTCCAAGCTAAAATGGGCCTCTTTGGACAGGTTGCACATTGAACAAGACCTTTGAGTGTGGCAAATAACGAGCTGTACATTGGGGTAAGAAAGCTGGACTTGATAATTTTCTTTAATAGGAGAAATATCTATGCTTTAGTATATCCTTTGGTTTCCTTTGCGTTTTTTCAGCTTTGCTAAGGAGAAGTAAGGAGAAGGGCTTGCTTTTGGTTCATACTTAGACCAGAGAGGAAAAAGGGAAGAGGGTGCCCTGGGGTCATGGACTGTGCTGCCAGCAGAAATCAAAGAGCCCGTGAAGTGTTGGTACCGGGTGGAGCTCCGAAGACTGTCCTTTGCTTCCCCTCTGAGCCTTTACTTGCTCTTTCCCAGGAGTTCCTGTTTTAATTGCTTAAGAGAAAGTCCTCTCAGCCCTTCCAATTTGAGACTCATTCAGTGAGTAGGATAAAGATACATCTGGTTGACCTCCAGGCAACTGCTGATATTTGTCTCTTCTTGGCCTATTCCATTGGTTTTCTTCCTGTTAATCTGGTTTTGTGTCAGTTTTATGATTAGTCCGGATGAAAGAACCTAAGAAGGGGAGCGGGAAGAATTCTCCCCCTCTCCAACACAATGCACATAAGCAAGGCCTCAGTGAACGCTGGTTGCTATAATTATGATAATGATAATAATAGTACTGATAGTAGAGATTGCACAGCCCACATCCCTCATTTTATAGATGCAAAATGGTGTAAACTAATGGGCGTACCCGTCCTTCCTCAAAAGCTTACTCATTCCTCTGAAGGGGAGCAGAATCTGCCACCCCAAATAATCTCTTTGGCACAAGGATTACTTTCGGATGATGACTGAAGAAACAGCAGACACAGGGAAACCTCTGAAAGTGGAGCAGAAGTGCCCTGGCCCAGCAAAGGCATCTTCTGAGGATGGAGGCAGATGTTGGAATCCTCTTGGCTGCCTCCCCGATTCCCCCTCCTCTGTCAGCCTGAGACCCTCTGTTTCTACTGGGCTTCTTTCCCCTTTCAGAGGTCAGGCCACATATGAACATTCACATGTTGCATTTGAAAGCCAACTTCCCCCACTCTCAGTTATCTGTGAGCAGAAAAAGGGTAAACTGTCAGGGTTTTAGATGGGCCTTTGCTCCATTTTGCTCATAAACACATAATCATCTTAGTTATTTTTATGACTTTGGTTTGAAGTGCTAAGCTTCCTGGAGATTTTATATATATCTATATACATATCTACATATCTATCTATCTATCTATCTATCTATCTATCTATCTATCTCTATCTCTTTCTCTCTCTCTCCTCTCTCTCTCTCTCTCTCTCTCTATATATATATATATATATAGATAGATAGATAGATATATTAAGGAGACTGCAGTTCTAGAGTTTTGCTGTAACCTCACATCTCGGTCTGCAACATTCGTAAAGAGCTCCAGGATCCACTGCTGGGATAAGTCTCACGTAACAGCATTATTACCCACAGACGTGGCAAGGTGCAATCTGGATAAAGTTCCTAAACCAGTTTGCTTTTGGTGAACGTCCAATTCTTTTATGACTGCCTCTACTGTTATCTGTATTCTAATTTCCCTATTGTCCAGGGAAATGTATTTATGGGGACAGACTGATGCAGCAGATGAGGGGAAGCCTGGACTGGATGGAAAAGTACTTTGCAAGGAAGATGATTCCAACACAGCTCAGGTTGGGGAAAATGGATTTTTAAAAGAAATGAAATTTCAGGATGTTAATGTGATTTATCTCAGTGAATGAGGCTGGTGCACCGTGGCCCAGAGTAACAAATCTTTCGCCTGCTCAGGCTGAGCAGGATATCACGTTTCCCAGCAGTGTGCCTCCTTCACCTTGAAAGAGACCCTGATTTTTGCATGAAAAAAATAACCACCGATCACTGGAGAAAAGCAACTCTTGTTGCTTTATCTTCAACAGAGGCCTATCCTTTTCTGATGTTTTTCTTTCCAGCTAGAAGGTCTGCGGTGGATGTGATAGGTAGCTTTCTGGGACATTTGATGTCCACCGTCTTACCAAGTGAGCCTTTCGATGAACCTGGCATTTTGTGCGTGAATCATTAGTGGTTTATGACCTGCTGCCCCAGCGCATTTGCACATTACAGCCACTCCTTTGTGTGGTTTTTCAAAGAGGAGCCTTATTTCCCCCAGGACAGCGGGGATTTGTATGTTGTGTGACCATCTGAATGTGGTCTTGTGGCTCAAGAGCTCTGCGACCCCGACATGCCCTCACCGTGAAATAACAGCTCCACCGGGAGAAAGAAATGGTTCAGTCGAAGGTCTCGAGGTACCCGAGGGCATCAGAGAGACTTATTTTTTACATGTGTGCTTACAGGGGGTCACTGCATACCTGGCCCAGAAAAAAGTGCCATTTCATGTGTCATCACCTTGCCCCTTGAAAGCTACCAGGAGTGAAGGGGCACCATCTCTGAAAAACTAGCCAGTAGGAAAAGAGGATTTGCCCTGTCCAAACTGGATGGACACCTACCTTTTGGGAACGTATTCATTCCACTAAATCAGATATACCTAATCTAGGGAAACTGAGGCAGCAGTACAAACCAAAATACTTGAGGATGGAGAAAGCAGGTAAGAATGAACCGGTTAAACAGCTTCCCTCGTCCTCTTGCCTCCTTCACACTTTGTCTGCCTGGAGGCCAGCCAGTTATCCCGGCACCACCCATGCTTGCCAGTACATTAGAGTAGATTATTTGTCTTTTTTTTTGTCAGCATTGAAATGAGGAGTCAGGCCCTGCCAAGGTGGCTCCACGGAGTGGGGCAATGATTTGTAGATGAATTATTTTAAGGAGCAAGGCAGCACGGCATGATGTAGTGGAAAGAGTGTTGTACTAGGCGAACACCTGCATTTTAGTGCTGGCTCTGCTCCTTAATAGCTGTTTGACTTTGGGCAAATCACTTAACCTCTCTGGGCCTTAGTCTCTGTATCTCTATAAATCGGGAATAACAACAATTGATGGTTGTGGTGGTCAAATAAAATCCTGGCTCTGAAAGCATTTTGTTAACTCTAAGGCACTAACCATAAGTAAAAGATTGCTATTGTTAGATTCCTAGGGACATGCACAGTAACACCACTTAGCCAATAAGGGGCTCCAGTCTCTAGTCCCAGGACCTCAGGAAGTACCCTAGAGGTCACATAGAGGAGAAGGCCCCGAGTCTGTTGCCCTTATAAGCCATTCCATAAATCCACTCAACTTCCCACAAGATGGGAAACGGGTCAACTATAAATAGTCTTAACTAAATAACACTTCACTCTACTCGTTAACAGCAAAGAACTCCCAAATGTTTTATGACCATTAGTTTCTCAACAGTAAGAACAATTTGGGATATGAGGTGTAAATTACGGCTTCTAGTCTTTCTCCATTATCTGTATACACGGAGGGGCAAACACAGGGTTGGTTATCTTAGAATGTGGACAATCCCAAAGTTACACAGTACAGGATGGGTAATCCTAAAGAATGGAAAAGTCCAGTCACATAGTATATGATTTGGTTCACAATGTTTTATCGAGGCTCCAAGCTGGGGGAGGCACTAAGAGATCATTTATTCAATATAATTTTTCTATTTTGAACCCATGAGGTTGATAAGCCATATGTAGATAATTCTTTTCTCTAGTATATTTTCATTTCACAGGTGAAGAAAATAAAGGCATTTCTTAAGTCACTTGTAAAACTGGTAGCAAGGCCAGGTCATCTAACTCCTCCATCCAGGGTTCTTCCCAGGAGCTGCCATTTCTAGAACCCTGATAGAAACCCTAACTGTTACCCCACACAAAGAAGTCCGATTACTTGGACTAGCTTCACTTCTCAGGTCAGTGGCATATCTGGTAAATACTCTGCTAGAGACCGGTTGATAGAATCAAAACATACAGATTGATTTGTGCATGTAGACAACTTTAGTCGCTGTACCAAAAAAACACCAATAGAACTGATTGGAAAGAGAGCATTGTCATAGATGATTTTGTCCACATCAAACCAGGAGACTGGTTTGACTGCTCACTGGAGTGGGGTGGTTACTATTGCATTTCCACAGCCTGAAGGTTACCACATTTTCACTTGGAGTGAATTCTGGCTGTGAGCGAAGAAAATGCAAGCAGTCCAGGTAGCCCAGGATGACACAGGTGCTCAAAGGAGGCCTGGCCTCAGTAGTGAGTGATGATTTTCCTCCGGCTGGCAGCTGCTTTGGGGCTGCTATTGAATGTTACTATATTTGGAAAGTTGGTCACATCATCCGAACATTGGTTAATGTTTCAGAAGGGACAGGCAGACAGTTCTGTGGTGTTTGTAGGCTTTGTGCTGTGCAGAAAGGCAGTTGAGACTGAGAGAGCTCTGGTTAGCAGTGAACTGTGCTTGGTAAGGACCCGAAAACTCCCAAATCTTTAATTAGCCCCAGGCAGTTCTCTCTCAGCCCAACCTCTGCATTAGTCCTTTATCCCTCTGGGCCTTCATACGTCTGTATTCACGGCAACGACATCATTCACTGACTTTCTCTTTTATCCTGCCTTTGTCCAAATGCCGCCTTGTGTCTCTCATCCTTCTGTGTGTACCTGCCTGGTCTTTCCAAATAAAGTATAAACTACACAAAAATGGGAACTGGGTCAACCTGATGGGCCTGACAACCATCTCCAGGGCATGCCGTGAGGGATTCTGGAGAGCCGCCTGACGGAACACATTTCTCCACCCAGACTTTCTCGGTGCCTGAAATTGCTACTATGAGAGCACTTTAGCCGGCTAATGACAAAGAAAGCTCCTATTAGAATGTTCATTTAAGGATCCTGAAACATTATCAGCCATTAGCACCCCCTCTCGAATCAGTATATCATATAAGTTAGCCACCTAGAAAAGCTTTGGAGAAATGGGACTTCAGATGAGGGAAGCTCTGCAGCTTTCAAGCATAAAACGACCAGTTCTCTATCTTGCATAAGGTCAAGCCTTACCCTCAGTCTCCTTTCAAAAGCCGAAACATTGCCTTTGTTTTGCTCCTTCCGCTGCCGCCACTCGATGAGGTTTGCATTGTGCTCTCCGGGCAGCGAGATGTTGCATTTGCCCAGGGTGGGGTTGACCGCCCCGGCCAGGATGTGCGGCTCTGAGCTGAGGCTGATCTCCATGCCACTGGCAAAGGTGACACGCAGGGAGCCGTCTGGACTCACCCGATATGTGCTTTGGGTATTTTCTGAAGACAGAGGAGGAAAGGAGGAAGAGGGGCAGGAAAGAAAAGAAAAGGGCAGGAAGCAGAGGAGAGACAAGTTTAGCTTTAGGAGGCAAGTTTGGGAACAGAGGAGCAGGTGGGGCGCTGTGGGCCCGGCTGCCTTCTGGGCTAGACAGCCACTCCGACAGGCAGATGCGCCCTCTGTTCATTTAGGTCTTGTTATTTTCACAGCTGGGGTAGCTCGTGCCTTGGATAAAAGACGCCTGGCGAATCCTGCAGGCTGTTTTGATTTTTCTTCTTTCTCCCTTCTAAAGATTTCCCTCACACACTCCCTTTCTGACTTGGTGGATCGGCCCCCTCAGTTTGGTATGCTGGGAGCTACTATGAGAAGGGAATCAAGTTCGACTGGGGGCACCCACGCAGTTGCTGCACCTGACAAAGCAACGACACTGACAGAGGTTGCCACGGATCCTTCGGAGTGGATCTGAACACCGGGCGGTTCTGTGTCTGGCCCCACGACCTAACAGCAGAATGAGTCCTTAATGATCGGACGGAGAGAACTGGTTCATGTATCCAGTTCCCCTTCAGCCTCCAAAACATTCCTTCCAAGTCCAACACCCTTCCTTCCCTTCTACCCCTCTCCTCTCCTGTTTTACTTCCACTCTCTCTTACTTTCCTCTCTTTAAATAGAATGAGCCCTCCATTCTCCCATTTCTCTTACATTCCTTCTTATTCCCTCATGTCAGCATGGATCTTGACTGCTAATCTCGCACGGGGCGCAGGCTCCGTTTCTCCGTTGTAACCCCTTCAGTGCCTGAAAGAGCTTTACGCACAGCTGGGTGAGGGTTTGGCAAGGATGGAAACTCATGACTCCCACAGAGCTGTGGCTCAAGGTCGCTGTGTGAACTTGTGCAAGGGGTGATCCTGACTGGGTTTCAGCCTCCAGAGCCGAAAAATAGGGAGAAGAGAGAAGATGCCATCTTCTCACACAGAACTGAAATGTACTTATGCTAAGGGCAGAAGTTAAGATAGGTGCTATTACGGCCGGGCAAAGTTAGAAGCAGTCTTACCTTGTTTTAAAATATATATGGTAGTAGTTGCTGTCAAGTTGGTTGACATGAGGACATTTTCACGGTTGGAAGTATCCAGCTCCACTTTTGTCAGCTTCTCCAGGTCACTGTGGAAGCTGCTGACCTCTCCAGTGGGAAATGTTGCATTGGTCAGATGTCCCTCAGGGTCATACCTGAGGAATGGAACCAGTGTCAGCTTTGAAGGCTCTTGGCAGTGATAACAGGCCTTTGCAAAATGAAACTCACTTGGCAGCTAATGCAGTTTAACTCTGAGTGCTAACAAGTATTATTAACCTTGTTCAATAAGAAGAAAAAGGTCAGAGAGATGATTAATCAAACGAAGGTATTTTTTTGCAGCTTCTGAATTCTTGATGACTTCCTTGAGCTGTGCTGTTTTACAGAAAAAAATATATCTGGTAATGAATCACCAGGGTGGAAAACTGATTTATGAATCATGTCCCGCTGCGCGCAATGTTGCAGGGCAGCCTCCCTTTTGCAATTTGGGTTGATCCCATTAGATGTGATGGATGACACAACCCAGCAGAGGGTGCTGTTGGCAAAGGAAACGGAGGCACAAACGAGGGCCCAAAGGCTGAGAAGGCCAATAAACTGACTGCATTGTGATAGGAAAATTATATTTGCTGCCGTTTAAATTGCCAAATTTGAAATGAATGAATCATTCTTCCAACAAAATGAACAAGCACAGAAGATAATGGAAGCATGTTCATTAGAACATTCTGGAGCCCCCTGATCTCAGTGTCACTTAATTTTTTTATCTTTTTAGAGTATAGCACATAATGCGTTGTAATTTGCTTATATGGGTAAGAGAAAAAAAATAATTACCTGGGATAATAGGCAATAACCTATATCTAGAAATATAGTCTAGTGAGTTTACTTTAAAAAAAAATCAGAATTATTGGCAATCTCACTGTCCTCCAAATGAAAACTGCTTCCCTGAAGGCTTTTGATGTGGAGCTGTTCTTTTATTGCCAATAGAACCATGAAAAATAAACACTTCATTAAAAGTAAAGGCATGCACTTGGAAACCCATTACTGTTTTCTTTTCAAGCTGCAAATTACAAAATATTTAAGCACTTTTATTTGCTTTTAAAATGTTAAACAATTATATTCTTTTTACCCAAACTGAACAGGATACAGCCTGGACACAATGGTGGAGTTTGGTTCCGCTACCTCCTCCCTCAACAATTATGCAAAAGGATAGTGATTCAGTGTTAATCCACTCAGTTTTCAAGAACTCAGCCTAGATAGTTGCTCATATTTTAAAACCAGGAGATCTCGGTTTGATTCCCAGGCAAGGCATATGCCAGGTTGCGGGCTCGATCCCCAATGGGGGGAGTGCAGGAGGCAGCCGATCAATGACTCTCTCTCATCACTGATGTTTCTATCTCTCTCTCTCCCTCTCTCTGAAATCAATAAAGACATATTTCAAAAACTAAAACAGTCATGTATGCAAATAAAAATAATCAGATAAGTCATCTGACATCATAGATGTGCCAAGCCCTAGTAGTTTAATCGGATGCAACCTTTGTTTAAGTGGATTTCAGACAGAATGGTTGTTGGTGTGTTGCTACTATACAGCTAAGGCCTCATTATCAAGGAGAGGCCAAAAGGTGCTGCTTGCGCCTGGGGTTAATGGCAAAATCCTCCGGCCTGCTCAGCCTGTTTGCCCATGGCCTGCTCTGGGGCTCTGTGGTTACAAGCAGCAGGTCCCTGATGAGAAAGGGGCATGGAAGGGCTGGAACACTTAGCATAGCCAAATCTTGTCTGCCCGATCTTTCTTGTCGGAGAAGAAAATGACATCCAGCCTTGATTCTCCCAAGGTACCGAGCTGCTTTTCCCTGCAGGGAGGAGTTTCGAGGCAGCAGATAGAAGGGAGCTGCTGCAGGCCTGCCTGGCGAGGGAGACTGTGGCCCCACCGCCTGGATTATGCAGGCAGTGTCTCTTTTTCACAATCATGGCTAGCACCTCTGGTGTCCCTTTCCTGATTTCTAAGAGGTTTCCTCACCTTCTGCAAGGTCATTCTTCATCATTTCTCCAGGAAATTTAACCTAAGATGCTATGCATGCACGTTCCCACTGGGCTCTGCAGCTTGGGGCAGTTTCCTTCTTTCCCAGTCACTCAGCCCCTTATTTTAAAGCGAGATTTCATCTAAAGGCGAGGGTCGTGCTTGGGTCCACTCCTCAGGGCAAGAAGACTAAGATCAGGTGCCAACTGCACCATCCAGGAGCAGAGGTACAAGGGCCCTAAATTCCAACAAACCTTAGCAGTGGCCTGTGGATAAATCCGGTTTCCTACCCTCTGCCCCCCACACCTTTTAAACTCAGTCACAGATGCTCTTTGTCTGAGATTATACATTTTAAAGTTTATTCCCAAGAGCACAGTCGTGTTCCCACATATTCTGGTCCCATGCCCACTCCCCAAATTGACGGGAATATGTTGGGAAAGGAAAGCTAAGCACTCCTGGGTAAAACTGTAATTACTTGGATAGATCTAGCTGGGAGGCTGCCGCCTGGCCCTTTTCTGGTGAGGGAGGCAATGGTGTGAGGATCAGGTAGAATTTTTCACAGTCTTGCCCAGTCACTGGGGAGCCAGACAGTTATATTGCCTGATTTCGTTGCTGTGGCTGGATAGGCATCCTTATTTGAAAGTGCACATTTGACTTTAACTCTATCGTAAACAAAGCACTCTACCTGGAGGGCATTATGCTAACTGAAATAAGTCAGACAGAAGAAGACAAATACTGGATGATCTCACTTATATGTGGACTCTAAAACAACAACAACAAAACCCCCAAATAAAAAAATCCTGCGCACACCAAACTCAGAAAAAGAGATTCGATTTATGGTTACTAGAGGCAGGGGCTGGGGCTGGGGGAAATGGAGGAAGGTGGTCAAAAGTACAAACTTCCAGTTATAAGATAAATAAGCCCTGCTCTGGCCGGATGACTCAGTTGGTTGGAGCTTCATTCTATACACCAAAAGGGTGGCTCGTTTGATTCCCAGTCAGGCCACATACCCAGGTTGTGGGTTTGATCGCCAGTCGGGGTAAGTGTAGGAGGCAACTGATAGATATTTCTCTCTCACATTGATGCTTCTTTTCTCTCTCTCCCCCTCTTCCTCTCTCTAAAAAAATCAATAAAGACATATCCTAGGGTAAGGATTAAAAAAAAGATAAGTACATCATGGGGATGTAATATACAACATGATGACAGCAGTTGACACTGCTGTGCGGTGCATATATAAAAGTTGCTAAGAGGGTAAATCCTAAAACTTCTCATCAGGAGGGGAAAAACCCCATTTTTTTCTTTTCTTACTTTTCGTATGTATATAACATGATGAATGTTAGCTAAACTTATTGTGGTAATCGTTTCATAATAAATGTAAGTCAAGAAATGCTGTATGCCTGAAAATTATACAATACTGTATGTTATATCGCAATAAAACTGAAGGAAAATAAACAAACAAACAAACAAAAAACACCCAATGCCGTCTACTCCTCCACACATGCACCCCAATTCTGCTCATCACAGTCAAAGCAATCGCATTTGCTGGTCTCTGCAGTGTGGTGTCTCTCAGGTACTCAATCATTGGTATGACCCTCGGTCAAAACATACAGACTCACCTCTCTTCTGTGGGGTTATTTCCAAAGGAAAAGTGACAGGCAGATCTCACAACTTTGGAAGGATCGCTCAAAAGTAGATAAGAAATAATGGGAGCCTTTGATTTCCTATGGCTTGCTTGAGGTCCCCCGTCCCCCCACACTCCATCACAGAGGAATGCGTGTTTGCAGGTGGAATATCTAAGAAACAAGTTTAATCAAAATCTCTTATGCTGTGTGTTTCCCTTTGGGGCCTGCACCCTTTGGTACACAGAGTAAGTACGAGCCAACAGGCCGCCACTGATCCCCTCAGGCCAGGAGTTGCACTTGCTTAACCAGGCCTGCAGGTTCCGGCTGGGAAACTGTGGCATCGGGCAATGACTGCGGCCTTCGTGGGGATCAGAAGTGGGTTTGGCGAGAGGAGATGCCATCAAGTCGTCCCTTCCCGTCCTGATTTTAGAGACTTCCACCGTGTGCATGCACACACACGTCCCTGCGAAGCAAAAGCACCTGTGGAGGAAACTCAGAACTCATTCTTGGCCAGGAGGGGCAGAGAGCTTAGTCAGGGAGATGACATGTATATATTATGGGAAGTGTATTCGGTCTGATATTGTCTCCTAAGGGACAGCTCCTCCTTTCCCTTGAGGACAATTTAAGCCAGGGCTCAACCATGCCGAGTAAAAACTAGAAGCACCTCCACCTTTGCTTTCAGGAAAAAAATGGAAGATGACAGAAGAAAAAGTCATTACTTATTTTTAAAGATGGAAACAACCCTCCTTACCCTCTCATGCCAGAAACCTGAGCCACCTAGTAAATATTCTTTCAGAAACACCAGGTTCCCTTTCCTCACCAGTCACTTCATTGGGCTTCCTATGATTCAGCTCCGAGTCCATAACACCCTTCTAGCTTCATTTGTTCTGTGTTCAATAAGTATCAGTCTTGCGCCAGGTACAGGGGATACAGTGCCGAATGAAACTCAAAGAATAGTGGGGCAGCTAGTTACATACACGAATCACTCTAATGCCAGAATATTGCCATGTGCTTCTGTAAACGAGGCGCTAGGTCAAGCAGAAGAGGAGAAGGAGGAGGTATGTGAAGCCTGGAAGGGAGGCAGAGATCAAGCCCTGGCTAGGTCGAGGCTGGGGAGGGAAGCAGGACATAAGGCTGGAGATGCAGGTTGGAATGGGAGTAGCAGGCCCCCGAGGAAAGCAGGTAGTCAGCAGACAAAGGAGAGACATAGGAAAATATTTTCAGGGGCAGAACAGGGTGATTCCAGCAGTGCTTTGGTGGCAGGGAATCTTGAAAGGGGAGATACGAAGCAGGAAGCCTGTTGGGAGGCCGCAGCCGCAATGTGCGCGAGAGAAGACGCTGGATTTCTGCCTTTATTAAATATATTGTGGTTGCCCATCGGTGGGGCTTGTTTTCCTTACTCGGCTGTAAAGTCTCAAATCTTTCGAGGGAGGGCACAGTGCCCCATTCATCTCTGCATTCTCGGGGTCTGGCACAGAGATTGGCACTGTGGATACTTGTTGAATGAGTGAAATAAAAGAGGCTGCTAGTGAAAACGGAGAGGATGGGTGGGTATGAGAGCCAGTGTGGTTAGAGAACAGACAGAGCCATCTCCGGTGGTGTCGAGAGGCCGGGTTCAGCTTACACAGATGCGCTGTGCCATGCAGCTCATCTTCCCCACTGGCCTCTGAAAGCTTTTTTGGCCAGCAGCCTCTCTTCCTTCTGTTCGCTCCCTGTCTCTGTTGCAGTTCTGCCCATTCTTGATCCTCGCCGAGGGCATAAAGCACAAAGGCAGGTAGGTGACTGCACAAAGGTGGTGCCCGTCCCCAGAGGCTCTGTGGAGCAGTTGGCCATTCTGTGTTTGTCTCGCTTGATCGAAATCCTTTGCCCACCAAGAGGCAGGGGCCGGACCACCTGGTGCATCAGTCCCTTCCCTATGCCGAGATTCTAGAAAGCACTGGAAACATTCTGATGTGTTTGGACTGGCCATTCATTTACGTAACCAGTTCTGCATGGGGCTCACATCCTATGCCTGGGCCAATATCTCACACAGAGACGTGGTTTGCTTACCTGGTCTCCCACCCCTGCCCCTTTTTAATCTTCTCAGGGAGGAGAGAGAATCCCTCATTAGCCATCTTCCATAAAACTGAGCATCTGTAAAACAGCCTAGAGCGATTTAGAGGGCTTTTCCAAGTTGTCAGTGAATGGCGTTATTTTTTTTGGGGGGGGGGTTTGCAGCGGGGAGGGGTAGATATGCTAACAAAGCTCAGAGATGGAGAGAGTAGAAGAGCAGGGATCAAGAGGTCATGCACATGCACAGCCTCCTTCGAGTGGAGGGCTCCCGCAAAGGGCAAGGGCCTGAGGAGCTGTCAGCTTAGCTGGGCCCGCAGCAGGGCCGCAACTGACACGCTTGTGGCCTTGGTCTGGGACCTTTTCAGATTTGTAGAGCAGAAGCCTCTGCCAAGGAACTGCTTGGGACACAAGCAAGGGCACCCTGGCTACTCTTGCAGCTTCGTGGGCAAAGAAGGCTTGCCTGCCATGTGAGCAGCTGGGCCCCTCCCTCAGACCTCAACCGTCGCAGGGCCATTGCGATTAGGAGCCCGCCAGCCCCTTGGGCCAGAACCCCTGTCTCCTTCGGCCAATATTCCTGCCTTGACAGTCACCTCCTTATTAGCCGTTTCTCTGTGGTCAGCTTTTCCCCTGACACTCAGGACATTGAGGGGCAGCCAAGCATCAAGTACTAATACTTGGGGTGTGCAATTTTGATCCTGGTCCAAGTCAAACGGAATTATGAAAATCAATGGACTATTTAAACAACAGCACACAATACAAGCCCACATTCTACCACGGCACGAGATGCATTTTAAAACCCCATGTGGATTGAGCAGCGTTCACGGTCATGTGTGTCATTTCTCCTCTCCGTCGCTGCAGATCGTGGAAAGCTGAATGGATTACTGGTTCAGCTACCTTTCCATAGCAGCCCTCCATCCTGCCGAATTTTGCTTCTGTTCCCCTTTCTCTTTTTCTGTGTCTCATCTCAGAACAGAAATTCTATTTCCACCTTGGCAAACCATTTGTCCCCTTTGGCCACAGAAGGCAGCCTCCCTCTCACCTCAGGGAAATGCTCAAGTTCTTCTAGGAGGGCCTAGTGGCAGTGGCAAGGCCACCCTCTACTATGTCAGCATGGCTCTGACCCTGACTAGAACAGTAGGTCTTATTCTGTGTCCCCCAACTTCAGAAGGACAAGGAAACACTTGAAAGGGTGTTCACATTGGCTAACGCACTGTGGCTAAAACTGAAAGTCAGATTTTGTACAAAGCAGACCCAAGGAAGAATTAGTTACATTATGCAGGTTGAAAACTGCTCATTTCTCTACATGCAGGTAAGAAGGGGCAGAAGGTTGCCCTGGCCAGTGTGGCTCAGTTGGTTGGAGTGTTATGCTGTGCACTGAAGGGGTTGCAGGTGTGATTCCCAGTCAGGGCACGTGCCTAGGTTGTCGGTTAGATCCCTAGTCAGGGCGTGTATGGAAAGTAGCAGATTGCTGTTTCTCTCTCACATGGATGTTTCTCTCTCTCTCTCTCTCTCTCTCTCCTTTCCCCTCTCTAGAATCAGTAAAACATGTCTATGTATGAGGATTAAAAAAAAAAATTTAAAAAGATATTCTCACTAGAAATTTTATCTTTCTTAAGATATTTAAAAATGTGAGCTCTTGAGTCAGACTGTTGGGAGTTCGAATGCTGGACATCTGTGTGAATCAGGACAAGTTAACCAATCTGTACCTCAGTTTCATCATCCATAAACCAGGCATACGAGGAGCACCTATGCCATGATGTTATTTTGGGGAATCATAAAAATAATAATGTATGTAAGCCACTTAGCCCAGTACCTGGCACATAGTAAAGCTTCAGCGAATAGTGGCTTTTATTACTGTTATTAAGATGTAAGAGAAAAATTTCAAAAAATACAGGAAGACTTGCAACAGAAACAACTGAATGCTTTTTTCCAAGTGAAACTAAAATAGCTGTCCAGCTCTTTTGTATAAGTGGCAGTTCTTTGGGAAATGAGCCAAAACTTGAAGGCCAATTGTTTTGTGCCTTTCCGTAGGAGGGTTTCCTGGGACTGGGTATATTCTCTATATCCTCGCAGACTAGTCTACTTGGAACCCCTCATACTTTATATCTGCACTTCTCACATTTCTCCCTTTAATGCCATTTCAGGCCCCAACGTTCAGATTCCATGGATGTTCTTCACTCAGGAAACTGGTTAAAAATTCAGCAGTTCCTTTCGTGGGAAAGACGGTTTCTGAGTGCTGGCAGACTGGCTTTCTAAATGTGTTGACTTGCAAACAAGGTTGTCCATGCTTTAAAAGGCAAGGACAATGGTCTCTATTTCCGTGTCATGACACCTCCTTGTAGCTCGCTGTCAGACACGTCCTGTGTTAATGCCTGTTAAACAAAGTTATCACAGATGCGGTCTGTGACTGCCTACATGTGCCAGATTCTTTGACTTGTGCAGGGAATGGGGGAAGCCCAACCCTGCACAGGAGTATCTGACTCCACATTTCACAGAAGTAGCCAACGAAGTGCACCCTCTCCCATTCAGCTCTTGCCCCATATTATTTCACACTTGCTTTCCAGGGTCCACTTCTTATACTCTAACTTCTCGCTTACCTCCCACAGCAACTTATACTGAGTTGGGCTGGGCTGGGCTGGGCACACATTCATTTAACCCTTTGCGGTCGTTTGTCTGCTCTCAGCCACCAAAGCTTTTTTACCGTTCCGGTCGTATGTCTGCTTTCAGCCACCACAGCAAGGAACCGTACGAACCTTAACTCTATTCATTCATGTATCAGTTCATAATTTCTCTTGTTTATCCTTCATAATCTTGCATCTTATGTATCACTGCTCTTTCAATGGAGATTAATTCCAACCAGTACGACACCCATGTCCAAATTTAATACGACCGCAAAGGGTTATTCAGTCATTAAACCCCATAGGGATCAAGAAATACTAGTTAAACCACACCGCTTCTTTGCTGCTTTCAAACAACTTTCTAGCTTTGTTATTGAAATAAAATTTTACCTTGTTTTCCGAGCCATGCTGTAAATTTCTTGAGTGCATGGACTGCTACATCACTCCCGTCTCCTGCGCTGCCACCCTTGAGTCTCCACTCAGTCTATGTTTTTATTCTTAGGCTCTGCCAAAATGCTCTAGAGAAACGGGTCCAAACCCTAGGAATTGGGTAAAATTTTCTCCCTGACTTCTAATTTTTTTTATTGTGGCTGTTGGGAGAAACTAGTATGTAACAACAGACGAGTACTAAACCCTTTTCCTACTATCATATGACTTCAAATGAAAACCTGACAAAGCCTATGTTGAGAATTAGCAACTTACTCATAAACGGTTGTCCATCCATTTTCGTTACTTTTGGTAGCCAGGAGCCCTGTGTTTCCTGGATAGGTCATCAAGGCCAGGTTATAGCCTTGGGCTGACACTCTTTTCAGGACTCCATTGCTGCTTATGGTCAGCCAGTACACCTGCCCGCCAGGCACCACAAGCCAAAGCGGCATCCCGCCCGCATCCCTGCGAATATGCACAGAGTTGCCGTTGCTGCTGGTAATGGCACCCAAGTCACCGTCGGCATTGTAGGTGAAATTATACACATAGTCCCTTGTTATCAAGTTCAAGGTGTGCAGGTGGGTTCCGTTGACGGTGAACTGGTAGAGCTCTTGATCCGCAGGCGAAGCAATCTCATAAAGGTTCATGTCATTCAGGTGGGCTTGGTTCCTGCTGATGGTTCGAATGCGAACGTTCCCGAGGTCAGCCACATAGAGGGTGCCGTCAGGCGACACTGCTAAGGAGGAAGGGGCTTTCATCTTTGCATCTTTGGCATAGCCACCGTCACCTGTGGGAGAAAGATCCTGATTTTAATAGTTGGCATCGTAAGCATTGATAAGAATAAACAGTATACAGAAATCACTGCACATCGCCCGCCGGGCATGGCTCAGGGGTTGAGCATCGGCCTAGGATCCAGAAGATCGGGGTTCGATTCCCGGTCAGGGCACAGGCCCGGGTTGCGGGCTCGGTCCCCAGCAGGGGCCGTGCAGGAGGCAGCCGATCGATGATGACTCCCTCACCATTGATGTTTCTCTCTCTCCCTCTCCCTCTTCCTTCCTCTTTCTGAAATCAAGAAAGATATATAAAAAAAAATTAAAAGAAAAAGAAATCCCTGTGCATCAAGAGTCATCTGAAAGGGAACAATCAGTTAGCCAGCATTCTCCGCATGTCCTCCTCCTCGACAAATCTGACACCCATTATTCGACATTCTTGAGTCAGCACCACTGAAGATAAACAGTAAGACGCAATTATCTCAGTAACACCAATTTTGTGAAATCCTCAATCCTGCTGTTCAGTATCTACTGTATTAAAAGATACAAAGACCGGCAAATAACAACAGCCAACAAAATTTGGCTGGAAATAGTGAGACTTAATGCCTGTCAATGGTTGTAGGATCTGTCTCAGACTTTTCCAATCCTAGTGTGCCTAGAGGACCTTTCTTCAGTTAATTCCCATCGTCCCACTGTCAAAGTACACTAAGTGTGTAAGTGCAACAATGATTCAGAACATCAAATTTGATCACTGGCATAGATATTAGATTTGTCTCGAATGAAAGATATAAATTAGCACAATAACTATAAAACTAACTGTCCAGGAAAACATCGGAAATATTGATCAAAAGTCATATCGACCAAGTTGCTCACTCTAGACTTCTCTGACCCAAGTGAAAGCAGAGGTTAAAAGAGAACCATTTAGGCCTGGATGAGCAGTTTATTAGGGCTGCAAGCAGCATGGAGGGATTTGCACATCCCAGCAATAAATGTATCTAGTGACGTTTTGAGGATTGTTTGTATCTGGAATATCTATTCCATGTTTTAGGGAGAAGGCTCTTTTCTTTCTGTCTTTTTTTTCTTCTATTTCAACTGAAAGTAAAGGGCACTAATGGTTATGGAGAGAGTTTTGGATTTTCTTAAAACAATGGAAGCAGCAGACAAATGTCCTGAGACCCCTCCATTGTAGTAAAGTTTTAATTACTCCCATGTGTCTGTCCCCAAAGCAGTGTGTTGCTAGTCCCTTTGGGTTTCAAATCTGGAAAGCAGTCACTTAGGGGAAGTGATTTTTTCCTGAGCGAAATTAGTAAATGTAGGTTTTACCTAGTTTCTCTTTCTCCAAAGTATAAATACTGCTATGATCCTACATTTGTATAGTGGTCTTAACTTAGAATTATCAAAATTTGTATTATACTAGTTTATCCTCAAATCAGGAAGATGATATAATTGAGACAAATGATGCCTCTATTTAACAGATGAAGTAAGCAAGTCACAAAGAGATTCTGTGGCTTTCCTGGGGCCACTCCGTGAGTCAGTTGCAGAACAACGACCAGATACTAGGCCACCTGACCCTCAGCGCACTGCTTTCTCCACTAGCTCATATTGATGTTCACAAGCAAGACTTTGGTTTTCCCTTTGACTTTCCTGATGCATGTTTTTCTTTTGAAAACAGAGAGGGGGAGCTGGTGAATTGCTAAAACCGTCATACCTGAAAAACAGTCACAGTTGGGATCAATTTTGCAATCACAGTCAGTGGGGGCACCAGCCATGATGGAGATCTCCCCATTGGTGGTAACTTGCTGAATGCGGTTTACTTTCCTCTCGTCTGTTTCAGCTATGAAGAGCAGTCCGCTGTGGGAGACACTGATGGCCCTGGCCGACTCCAGAGTGGAGTGAATTGCCACCTTGCTGACCAAGAAATGATCGATGCCTGGCACCTGGCAGTGAATGGGGCGCCCTGCAATGATCCGCACACGCCTGCTCTCAGAAATCTGCAGCACAATGTTGTTATCCAAGACATACAATGAATTGTCCATGGGATTGACTGCAAGGTCTGTTGGCCACTCTAATCGCACCTGCAAAAAACAGAACACACACCATTAGGTTATAATATCTTTCCAGGGGCAGTTTTACTTTTTTAAAAAAACTGGCTTATTGGCTGCCCCCATCTCAAGAAGTTCAGCAACTTTGGTGTTGTCTGCAACGTTGCGGGAGGATGGTCGATCCAATGTTCCGGTAAACATATTTATCATTTATACCATTTCCAGCATAATGTACATTTTTTTTTGCAATAATTCCAGAAGGATCCTCTAGAGCAGCGATTTTCAACCTTTTCCATCTCACGGCACACAAGAAATAATTACTAAAATTCTGTGGCACGCCAAAAAATACATTATATATTTTGCCAATCTGACAAAAAAATAGGTATAATTTTGATTGATTTACAAAAAAAAAAAAAAAGTAATTACCTACCCTTTTTGCTCCAAAGTGACTTTTTAAAAAGTCAGGTGCCTGTACTTATGTATATAAAGATTTCTGTTCCCAAGAATTAACCAATCAGATGCAACCTTATTATGCCACGTGACCAATAAGATGCAAGTCTATGTATATATTTATAGTCATGACGGCATTCACAGCGCACGGCTATTGTGCTGGCTGTTGTCATTTTCTTATTTGACAATCTAAGGGAAAAGAGGCCAGTGCCTTGGACTAAATAGTCAGGTATTGCATGTTTTAAAAATTCTTGAGGCGCACCTGAGTGCCTGCTGCAGCACATTGGTTGAAAATTGCTGCTCTAGAGCAGTGTTTTTCAGAGTGTGGTCTCTGGACCAGCAGCAACAGCATAACCTAGGAACTTGTCAGAAATGCGAATTCTCAGGCCCCAATCTATTGAATCAGAAACTCTGGGGATGGAGGCCCAGCCGGCTGCAGTTTAACAAGCTTTCCAGGTGATTCTAATGCACTCTCAAGTTTGAGGACCACTGCTTTAGGGCTTCTGTGTCACAATGATACGAAATCTCTCTCACTGTCCTCTAGATGCATGGGAGAGCAAAGTTACAGGGGCTTTTGGAAAACAGAATGCTGGTGAAACCAGATTTTACTCTAAGAGCAACCTTCTGTTAGCACAGACTTAGCATCCATCCTGCGGAATATTCAGGTACAGCACATCAGTTGGTGCTTTGGAATTTTTTTAAAAAAAATATATCTTTATTGATTTCAGAGAGAGGAAGGGAGAGGGAGAGAGAGATAGAAAAGCAATGATAAGAGAGTCATTGATCGGCTGCCTCCTGCATGCCCCCCGCTGGGGATGGAGCCTGCAACCTGGGCCTGTGCCCTGACAGGGAATCGAACCCCAATCGCCTGGATCCTAGGTCGACGCTCAACCGCTGAGCCACGCCCGGCCGGGTGGTGCTTTGGAATCTTAAGCTGACCTGGTTCAGTACATCTCTCTTTTTCCTCAGCGAAGAAACAGGTTGATTTGTTCTTTCATTGAATGCTTGCTGAGTACCTTCTCTGTAGTAAGCTTGGTGCTAGGCTCTGGGGATCCGGAAGACTGCTCTGATATTAGTGTCCATGTTATGAAGAAGGAGGCAGCAGACAGTGTGAGAGCACTTCCCCGAGACCAGGAGCCGGGAGGCAGGGTTGCCAGAGAAGGGGCTACCTAAGCAGGGTCTGAAGTGATCAGTGGGAGCGGGATGGGCTGAAAATGCGGGGAGAAGCAGCAGAGCTGGGGGCAATCCAGGCAGAGGGAACAGCATGGGTGAAGGCCCAGGGGTTGGAGACAGTATGGCCCATTCAGGTCACTGCAAACAATTCAGCAAGGCTAATGATACAGGCTGGATGTATGGGAGTGGCGGCCAATGCAATCAGGAGGTAGACAGCGGCTAGGCGTTGTGGACTGAATTGTGACCTCCCCTTACCTTTGTATGTTGAAGACCTAACCCCTAATGTGACTGTATTTGGCAACAGGGCCTTTAAAGAGGTCATAAAAGTTAAACAAGGTCATAAGGGTGGGGCTCTAATTCAATAGGACTGGTGTCCTTATAAGAAGAGGAAGAGACACCAGGAGTGTGTGTTCACAGCGAAAACTCCCACGTGAGGGCACAGGAAGGGGGTGGTCTTCTGCAAGCCAAGAAGAGAGGTCTCAGGAGAAACCAAACCTGTTGACCCCTTGATCTTGAACTTCTAGCCTCCAGAACTGTGAGAAAATAAATTTCTTTGGTTCGAGCCACCCAGTCTGTGGTATTTTATTTCGGAAGCCCTAGCAGACTAATACACAAGGTATTGGAGGGATATACATGCCTAGCTTTATTCTGATGGCTGAGGGAAACTGCTGAAGGGCTTTAAGTGGGGGGGTGCCAGAGTCCTATTTGCGTACTAGAGGGGTCACACTGGCTGCTGTTGAAACCATAATGGAGGGGGAGGAGGGATGCGAGGCAGGCCGATAGGTAGGAGGCTCCAGCAGCGGCCCAAGTGAGGGATGATAGTGGCCTGAACTGGGATGGCAACAGTGAGGATGGAAAAATAAATGGATCTGAGACACATTAAGGGGTTAGAAACAAGGATTGGGGTGTGGGGGGGGGAAGGGGGTTCATGTCTGGTGTACCTTTTACCGTGTGGTAGGCACTGGGAACCCACGGATCAACCAAACATGGCTCCACTCTAGTTCCTTTCTGGACACAGGAGTTAGGCCAATGCCTTCCCTGACATCGTGTCAATAGCTACTATTTATCACCGGCCACTTCCCAGAGAACTGTATGACACCCCGCCACTCGCTTATTCTGAACTTTATTTCTCTTCTCCTAGCCTAGACAAAGCCAGAGAAACCTGTCCCTTTCCCGCCCAAGAGACTAACAGTAATGTAGCTACTCTTCGTGCTTTGAGTGAACGCCCAAGGAAAGCTTCGTTTTTCTTAATGAACCTGAACTCTGCAAACAAGATGCAGGCTGTCACCGCATTCGGAGGCGCGCTGTCTCCCTGGGTGGAAGAGGCCTTCCCCTCCGCAACGAAGCAGCTAAAGGCTGCTCTGAGATAAGGCCTTCCCTCTAATCCTGTCTCTTAACGGGGGGCAACTCCTGATGCTGTAAAGGAGACAAAGGGGGTGTCTGGCCTCCTCTCCAGCGCCGCTCGGGGCTCTGTGCTCCCCGTCTCCAAGTGTCTCTCCCCGACAACCAGCAACCTCAGTGTGTCTCCACGTCTCTGCGTGCCCTCAGCCTCCACACGGGCTGCCCTTCTCTGGTTGGCACCATATGCCTCTGGGCGGCTAGGAATTTGAATGCTAATGGAGTATAAAGCCGAGCTTGTGCCGTGCATGTTCTACGGAGCCTTTCAGACCAAGGCCATTGGATAAACACGAAACGGCAGCTCTCAGAGCCCCCAGAGCAGCTCGCCGTGGTGTGTTCCTCGGCGC